CCCACCCTGACTCGGTCATTGCCAGCTGAACCCCGGTATTTTGGGGGCTGCTCTGCCCTCCAGCCCACTCCTCGCCCCCACGCTGGGCTGCCCCCGGCACCTACACGCCGAGTCGGAGAGGGCGGTGTGCGAGGAGCGCCGGGAGCTGTGGGACGACAGCGACACTCCCTCCCGGCTGGCGTCCTGGCTGCTGCCGCACTGCCCCACGTCCAGGTAGCTGCTGTGGCTCTGCGGGGAGCGAAGCACAAGCGGCGAGATCGTCAGCAGGAGAGGACGGTGCTGGAGAGGACCTGTGCCTCCCTGACCGTTGGTGTGCGGAAAAAAATAACAGGCTGGGTGCAGAGAGGGCTAGCACTGCAGCACCGCAGCACCGAACCCTGGTGCCGTATTCGGTCAGCCCCGCAGTGCTCAGCCTAAAGCCTTCGGGTATCCCTGTGCCGACAGGACCCTCAGGATCACACCCCAGGCACGCCTTCGCTTGGGCGCGATGCCACGCATTTCTGTCCCGGGACACCCGTCTGACGGCAGCGAGCGGCAGTGGGGGACGCACCGCGCCTCGGGCGAACGCCGTGGGGATTTGCTGCCCGTGTCCCCACGCTCTGGCGTGCCACAAATGTGTGCAAGTGGAAATACGCTTTCATAATTAGCTTCCTTCTGCCCGATTTCTTCAGGGATGTCACAGTTCGCTGGCCGCAGCACGCTGGGGAGTGGTGGGAGAGAGGTAACGAGTGAAGGCGGCAGGAGGGGCTGGCTGGGGACCGGTTTTATTCATTGCAGAGACGGAGAGAGCTCGCTGGGAAGGGACACGGACCAGCGGAACTGGGACATCAGCTGCAGCCCTGGGAGAACGTACGGCAAACGGCTCCTGCGAGGGACAGGTACCGGGCGATGCCGAGAGCTGCAGTGCCGGTCGCCGCTCCCTGGGGAGCGGTCGCTCCCAGCCGGCTGTTCTGGGCAGGAACCTGGCAGCACACCCGCAGAGGGGAACAGCCTAAGCTAGTGACTGTTAACGGCCTTGGAGCCGTCACACCAAAACGACAGATGTCACCTGGCAGATGGCTTAAGGCAAACAGCCCCTAACCGTTGGGTAGCAGGAGCCTGTTTCACCTGCAGGAGGTGGGTGACCACGATGGCCGTGCCACCACGCTCCCCACGCCTCCCAGGGAGCTCCCCAGCCTCCCGCTCCCCTCCAGAAGATCAAGCAATGGGAGTGATCGCTCTGCCACTCCTCCAGCTGCCTTACATCAACAGGATGCAGGAAAATATCTCAGCTACCATGTGGAAAGGGGAAAAAGACACAGAAGTGTGCTGTGGTGGCAAAGACTGTCCTTGCTCCAGTGCAAAACACCTCTGGGACAGCTTCCCCTATACATCCCATAAATGGCTTCTATACAATAATGTCTGAAGAGCAAGGAGGCTAGTGGAATCCACTTGAAATTACTTTGATTACTGGTCTTAGTTGTAAACTACTGAGAGGAAGAACTTGGATGTAATGAAAATGACCTTATTAATCGGGCAGGTGTGTTGGATGCCAGACGGATTCAAGCCATGGAAATTACTGCTCTGGTCACAATCCTACACCTGATGCGATCCTGCCCAATGGCATAAACAGAGCTGAAATCTGGAATAAGTGTTGTCCCTTCACTTCCAATCTTTGTCTGAGTATCAGTGACGAGCTGGCACTAACAAAACAGGCACCACGTGGTACCGCCCTGCGCCCGGATCCTCTGCGCCTTACTAACGGTGGCAGGTACAGCAATCTAGGTACAGCAATCTAGCCTCCAGCTCCAGCTCTACTTTTCTGCTTCCAAACTGAGGTGGCTTAACCGATCGCTGGAGTAACAGTCTCAGAAAGATAATGAGTAGCAGACCAGCAGCAATGCAACTGCTGAATTTGCAGTTCCATGTCTGAACGAGCAGTTTAGAGCCATGCAGGTGAAAATTTCTCAGGGTCTGCTTGAGTCATAACCCAGCTGAAGGCTTGGAAGGAGATGGGAGTAAAGGAGAGGGAGAAGGAAGAACAGATGTTTTCCTAAGATTGATAAGTGATTACTCAGTTTGGTTTAAACACCTACTCATTCAACTGTGAAGGGACATGGTACCTTTAGAGAAGAGGATGCCAGTTCAATTGATGACTCTTCAAGGCCGAGATCTCGCCGTCTTTCAGCTCGAACTTCCGCATAACTTAAAAAAAAAAAAAAAAAATTTGAAATCCAGTTTTTCAGCCTGGATATTGTATGGTAACTACCCTACCATATATGTCACTACGGAGTTTTCATGTTGAGTCACAAGCTTTGCACAGCACACACACAACTCCCTCACACACAAGGTGCTTAGAGGAACATCATCATACAGCCTTGCAATCTGTGAATAACTGTACATGCTGAATATCCACAGATTAGAAACAACAGGGCAGTGTCCCAGTCCCACTGCGCCCGGGACTGCAGAGCCTGCAGGATTAATTGCACTAATCGTTCCAAGCACAAACATAGATGCTCCTTTGCAAATTTTGGCCTGGATGACTTGAAGCAAAACTAATCTAAAAGCACAGTGCACTTGGTTATTGGAGACAAAATGGGTGTCTTTGTCCTCAGTACAATTTTCCTAATAAAGGGGATTCCTATTTTCCATAATCTGGCAGAAAAATGATCCTACAGCTTCTGTGCAGGTAAACTGCCATAGCAAAATTAATTTTCTAACCTGCTGACGTCCAAGAATCAATTTCTTTGCATGTTGCATGGTGGCTCAGCCAGACCTAAGCCAGTGCCTTGGGGAGGAGGAGGTCAAGTCTCCTCCTTCTGAGGGTGCACGCAGCACCATCCCTCAACACCCCTCGCTCCTGTGGAAGCTCTGAACACAAACTGATGGCTGCCCAGGTGCAGGAATCCCCAGGAATGTGCCTCTAAAAGTGCATATTTGCTTTCCTTACTACTTTTTCTCTTACATAATAAAATATTTACAGTAAACAGTGCCACATGATTTACCACTGGGATAAATTGGAGAGGACGTTTTAAAGAGTCTCTGAGTGCTTGTGGATCATGGGCACTAAAGGGCGCTGAAATATTAATGGGCCGTAACCTTTGTGGGAGGCAAGAGAAGCTGCTGAACTGAACTTACTTACAAGATTGTAGGCAATGAATTTTCCTGAAATCATGTTCTAACTCGTGTGTTTCAATAATACATTCTAAACCTTAACTATATGAGCCAGAATTGAATTTCAAAGTCTACTTAGGACCGTATCACTAGCTTTAAGAGGCACTGGAAGCAGAAAGAAGAAACAAGTTCACGCACGATAAATTCAGAGCTTAAAGTGAAGCTGAACTCCCTGAAGGATGGCAGAAAGAACACAACTCAGAAGCAACCTCTCTGTCTAACATTTGCTTATGATAACACTTGACATGTAGTTGATAACAGCACACACAGCCCTAATCACTTACACCTGTTTAGTGGTGTAAGGTGTTCTCAGTCTGCGTTTCAGAACATGGAGCAGAATCCCAGTTTACTCGTGTTTGTTCTTCCAGATGTTTGACAAGAAAAAAATTCACAAATTGATTCCTGACAGTAAGGAAAGATGCAGTGAGCAGTATGCTTACTCAAGTTAATAGAGCAAACCAGTATGTCACTATTTTTTCAAGCCCTTCAGTAAATATATTCTCACTCTTAACACAACCTTTTTTGAGATGACAGTGGTAATCAAGCAGATTCCCCTCCAGAAGGTGCGTATCACAGAGCATCCCACACACGCACCGCCTTCCAGCATGGGTTTGCAACCGAGCGCAGGCATCCCTTCCCACTAGAGGGAGATCCTGGGCTGCGTTTCGGATGAGAAATAAGGCTAGCAGGACGGATGATAACTTCAAGTCATAAATATTTAAAGCTCTGATCAAAAGGTTTTGTAGGAGATGTATGATCCCATTCACGCCCATAAAGCCATCTGATTCTTAACAGCTTTAATTCTTCCTGTGGCCATGTCATCGCTAGGGATAAAAGGGGAATGTAACACACTGATAGACTTGGCCAACGGTGGCTTCCAGGCTTTTGGCCCGGTCGTCAAAAACCCCACAACATTAATGAAAACACATTATGCTTTTCCCCATGCTCCCTGTTGTAACAGCTTTACAGAATTACATACCAACTTAGTGTGTAAATATGTGCAGCAAATATTTGGCTCAGGCAAAACAGAACTGGGAAAAATAATAGATGACCACATGGGACATACACTGTGAAGTTTTGGTGCTTGCTCCTACCTAACTACCAGGTGAGTGCAAACGATGAACTCGGGTTTGGAATTCCACTGGTGGTAGGTGATGTAGTAGTGTGTCTGCAGCCATATCCACTGCTGGCCTTTGGTCAGGAACCGATAGTAACAGGACTTTCCTTTTCCAAACTGCATCACTGTTAAAAAAAAAAGAAAGCCATTTAGAGCAAACAGAAATTTCACGGTGCGAAGGCGATTAGAAAAACCACTCAGTCCCATACCCCTCTTGCAGTCTGCTACTGCGCTAAAACGGCTCTTGCGGCTTTATAAACACAACAGATGATACACAAACATGTACTGAGCTTTTATTTGGGTTCTTCCCCGCTGAAGATTTTCAAGAGTGCACTTTGTTATTTTGAGATTGTTCTTACAACTAATAATTGGCATAACTACATAACTAGCTATACTCTTGTAACTTATTTGTGGGCTCCTCTGAAATAAGCATAAATAACATTAATTAAACAAAGTACTGGCCTTTCACAAGTACATGAGAATGCATTTCAAAGACTGAGGGCTTGAAGTTAGGATCCTAATAATGGCACAAAACAATAAGATAGTGGAGTTTTAGCAGTTTCACTGAGAGTTTTCTTCCAAGAGATGACCTAAATACACCAGACCTGGTATGTATTATCAGGGTATGTCCAGAAAAATCTGAAGTGGTACAATACAAGTGGAGAAGAATGAGGGGAACTACATTAAATAGCCACATTAATTATTCCCAGAATGCTGGGAGTACAAAATTAAACACGCTCACTTAAAATACCCATAATTAATGCAAAGTAAAGTAGACATGTGGTTTAAGCAAAGCCATTTCATTTCACAATAGCCAAGGTGCCTGCCCAGAGCGGTCAACCTGACGAATGGGAACTTAGGAAGACACACTAACCCATGCATTTTTACTCACCTGCGCACCTCTACTTTGTTAAGTATCAGGACTAACTTCTCTAGCAATGCCATTAACAGTGATGGGCATTAGATGAAGCACTTTGCGAAGACCTTCTGGCTAACACACTGTGCTGGGGATCACTGAGCTCCTAGTCCTGGCAGAGATTCCCTGAAGCAGCTTCTATAAGTTACTTTGCCAGCACCTTACTTTGTCCCCCCGCACAGTAAGATTAAAAGATCCTTTCCTTCAGGTGTGTTGTGCAAATACTCTTTCCATATGTAAGAGGAGATCCGCGGCTGGTAGAGATGTAGCACATAAATCACTAAACAGATTCTCTGCTGAATGATCTGACCCCACTCTCGATATAGTTAGTGCCTATGTCAAACTGCACACACACGTTACCAAAAGGACACCGTCTGATTAAGTAGCTCACTTCTGTCTGAATGGTCTTTTAAGCGAACAACATTAAAAAGTGCTGTACTTGAGAGCAATTAAAATATTCCTTTAATATTCCCATCTACACGCTTGCTGCACTTGACACAACTTGCGTCTTAGCCCCTTTCACAGCTTCCTTCGTGTGCTCAGCCGGGCAACCTGCTTCCCCGCCGCCTCTTCCGCACCAGCGCTCCGCCTTGACAGGGCAGGAAAGCCGGCAGGAGGGTGGAATGGGGAAACCTGACATTCAAAGTCGTCATTTTCTGCACGCTCTACTAGGTCCTTTAGCATCTTATACGTGTAAGTGGTAGAGGGTACATGGTAGAGATGGGGCTGGTTTGCAACTTGGAGATGAAGCAGCTTGTCTAGCTCCAGTGTGCTGGGGGCCTGTGGAGTTTCTTGGTGTCCCTGCACCGTGCTGCTCTGCATCTCGGAGCATCCTCCTTTCTCCACTCCGGGTGTCCTTTCCTTTCGACAAAACACTCTCCTTTCAAACGGGGAGAGCAGAGCGACAGACAGACAGAGAGTTTGCCCAAAAGGGAACCTATAAGTAATGTTTCTTGGCAAAATATCTGATTACCCAGATGCATTTTACAAAGTGCATAGTTACTTTTCATTACAGCGCTTGGCAATACAAACCAGCTGGAGGAGAGACCCAGTTCTGGCTCAGTATCTCAGTCTGAAGTGCATGTAATAAAATGGAAGAATACAGTCTCAGGGATAAAGCATCTCCCACGCTCATCTGGTAGGAAGAGCATACTGATTAACAGTCGACCACATCTGCTGCCACCTTTTGCCCTTCAGCAGGCCGCGGTGCTTCCGCGCCGGGCTGCGCTGCCGCGGTACGCGGGCGAAGCGCTCCTCCTGACCTGGCTCCTCCTGGGCTCTTGCAGGTCACAGTATTTCACCTTGCATGAAGATGAACTTCACGTACATTCTCTGGTGTTTGCACATCAGCCAGAACTGGACTTTTCTGCTTTACTTTCAGGTTGACCAAAAATGAGCCATCTTTACCCACAGGGAATCTGTATTTGGTACTTGTGTATTTAAAAAAAGAATCTGAATCTCCAGAAGCATTTTACTAATAGTAAGTGAGGTTCACAACATCTAACTGCACAGGCAGGTGATCCAAATCCTGCTTTCAGAAGGCACTTTGGTGAGCTGAGCCTCCTGGCTGACTCCGGAGCCCACGGGAACAGCAAGAGCCCACGATCTGTGACAATCAACAAAACTCGCAGGGTTTGGGGCTGCCCTCACAAACTGGGGGCAGAGGGTGTGAAGTTCTGACTTCCTACTTATTAATCTCATTTCACTCTCAGACAACCCGGCTCAAAGGGGTTATCTGCCAATTTGGGAAACCTGCACAAACAGTTCCTGATCTGAGCGAATTCTGCAGGGGCTCTACCTCCCAGGTAAGCGTCAGCTATGACAGTCTGTCGTGGGAAGAGAGAATTCCCTCGCACCCCAGGTAAAGATGCCTTTTGCGACAACAGTAAAAGGTTTTGCACAAGTGACAAGCGAGATGAAAGACAGGCACGCTGCAGAGGGAGAGGAACTTACAGTGTTCATGGCACCTAGCAAGAAGCTCCAGGTCATCTGCGTGGTAGTAATCATACCCTGACGTTCCCAGAACCTCAAAGGGTAAATATCCTATAATAGGCGGAGCTCTAGAAGGGAAGCAAAGGGCACGGCATGAGCACAAAACCTGACACTTTGACATCCTGGCAGATGCGCTGCGATACTACTGACCAAAACCATCTCGTACGTTCACTTGTCAGGGAAATCAGGAGTGGATTTTCATTTACGTAACGATGTATTTTCATATACAAGCAAAAAAAACCCCAAACAACCAACCAGCGAGGGAGAGGTAAAAATTGAGAAAATGAAAAGGTGTGTAGTTACTGTTTCATAGCCTATTCATTATGTGGGTGTAGAGAAAGGCATGTACGTAACGCAAGTGACTCAATTCATTAAGCACACTTGTGAGACACACAGCTTGAGAAACGCTATGGCTGCTCGTGTGTCTAGTGACTTACAGCTCGAGTAAACTTATCCAGTAGGTTGGATGTAAATGCCACCCGGGTAGTAACTGTAAAAGAAAAAGTAAGTGGGAAGCTGCAACGTGGGTCAGGACCAGCTTGGGTAAAAGAAAAAGTAACCGTTCCCATGGAAAAGCTTGGGAAATTTTTGCCGGCAAAGATGTTTCTATGCTGGTAATAAAGATAAGAATAGGCACGGGGCTGATTTTAAGGACTGTTATTTCAATGGCAGGTAGAGAAGGAATCGAGGAAATATTTAGATGGGCACATTGCAATGACTTACCTGACTATTCTGCTGGCACTGCTAGATTTTCCTTTTTCTAGGCAAAATATGAGATTTTTTTTTAAGCAAGCATCCTAACAACACTGAGCTTGTGCACAGCCTTCCCCAGAGCCTGCTAGCTTATGATTATGAAACACCACTGAAACGTGAGGACAAAAGCCACTGTTTTTGCCTGTTCTCCCTATACCAGCATGCCACCTTCTGTGCCCTACTGCTCAAGTACAATCCTGCTTGCACCAATTCAAGCACCGCACGTACTTTGTGAGGCAGGACTGGCACTAATTGGGCTACACCTATTTGTTTTGGCTGCTGGATGTGCTGATAGCATGAGGCTCACCTGCCAAGTTCAGCATGTTCCTCAGGAATAAGGCGTCGGTGTGCTAGTGAAACGGTTAACGTTTCAAAATCAAGGCAGTCTGAAGGTGTCACTGCCTAGCAAGCACGCCTCTCCCGCTGCCTTTCTCTTGGTGTGTCGAGCGACCCTCTTAAGGCAGGTGAATGCCATAAAGTGGCCAAGAATGTGAGCAAAAAATGAGTTAAGTGTAAGTAGATTTGGGTTTGGATGGCTCAATCCTGAGTCCTCTGGATATTAAGGTGGGAAGTTCTCCTGTCGTGGCTGAGTGACCCAGCTCCACATTTGTACTCCTGAGAGACGTGGTGGGCATAGATTTTTCAACTAAAGAGAGCCCAGACAGGTCCATAACCTCTCTCTTCCCCACAACCACGAGCAGTTTGGCACCAAATGGGAAACAGGGGAAAAGGAAGGACAGCCAGGGATCTGCTCAACAGCAGCCCCAGGAGGTTCAAGGTCTCAGCAGGAGCTGCCGAGCCCCAGCAGAAGGGGTTGGCTGGGAGAGCCAGCCCTCCACACTCTCTGACGGCAAATCTCCCGAAACAGAGTGTGCTTAGTACACAGTGGTCTCCGCCACAATACAGCCTTATTTATCCAAATAACTCTTCACAGAGCACTGTGTTCCTTTTCCTCATGTGACCCAGATTTCTGTTAATGATGATAATATGGGTATTTATTAAAGTGTCTTTCCTTGCTGTCTCTTTGGCAGAACGCACCCGTGTCCTACTCCTATCTTTAATGGCATGCTTATATTCAAGACAATAATGTCTTTCAGATGCACATCAGATAAACATTTAAGCTGATCAGGAAAGTATTATGCTTTCCTGACTATCACCAGAATTCTTTAAATGAGAAGGCAACCACAAAATGCTCCTCATCTGTCATATGACAAGGAGCTGCTTTGCTTGTGGAACAATGTAAAAGCGTCTTGTTAGCTTAAGTTCCAGCCTCGAGGACTGCAACTCGCTGTGCAGATGGATATGCACAGTCTTCACAGAGCCTTTTGAGTGCAGTCTTTTAATAAATGAAGGAAAATAAGGAGAGGACCAGAGTGCAGAAGAGAAACAGATCATTAGCAAAGTTGACAGGATTTCTTCCTCTACACATATTTTCATGTAGACCCACGAATACAGATTTTTCCTAGTTTTCTAATCTACAGAGTGCTTTCTGCATTATCTAGCTTTACTCAATTTTATGTTGTCATCATGATAGCAAAGGTCCTGATTCCAACTCATGCCGGGTACCCTCTGCCCCTGCTGACGGCACACCTCAGCGTCAGCCGGGGTGAGTTGATGCAAATAGGCAACAAATAGCAAAATACCCACAAACACTTCACAGCATCCTGTGGACTGAACTGGAGAGAGGTTTGAATCGGTGATTAAATGAGACAACCCGCACGATCCCCTGCTCCTTCTTGGGTCTCTCGATGCTCACTGCTCACATCTGGGGCAGTCACAGACTCTGCCTCAGCATCTGCATCAGCTTAATTTACTCTCAGTAACAATGGTTTCCTCACTGGGGATGTCAGTAGGACCGGAGTCCTACTGATAGGACTCTCTGCAAGCACCCGACGCAGAGAGATTCCTCTCTGAGTCGTATCCCAGATTCATCAAAAGAGCCTTTGATAGGTTCCAGAGCAGCTCCTGCTCGCCTTATTCACAGGAGCTGCTGGGACACAGCCCTTTGGAAAACCAGCTCGCTCCATCAGGCAGTGAAATAAGGGGCTCAGGGCTCTTTTATGTATCTTACCACCAATCACCTGATTCTGAAAAGTGTGCATTATCGGACAGGCCAGTTAAAGTCTAACAAAGTCACTCCAGCAAGATCTCAACAGCATGAATAATAAACCAACTGTCCCAAACCACACAGCATTAACCAAAGGGTTGTTGCAGGGACAGGTCCTCTATTCTTCAAGGTATGGTGCATGAGGTACACATTTTGCTTACTAAATAAATGCAAGTTATTATTCATTTGTATTTGCTCTCTCTCTCCCTCTTGCTCCAAGTGTGCAGATGATATTTAGGGTTTTTTCCTCCCAAATATTTTTTTCTCCACAGCCTTATTTACTAGTCTTCTATTCCTAGTAATGACTACCTTTGCACAGCTTGCAAAGGGAGGGATAATGGAAAGGGTAGGATTTTGCCATGTGCTTATACATACATGTCAAATACAGAGAAACAAAAACTTCCAGCTTCTTTTGAAGAAAATGAATCCTGTATTAATCAGCTTAATAAAGTGGTTCCAGTCTGTTTCATTCACCAAGATGAATCCTAGTCCACCATATGGCATTCAGTCAAAAACAAATCTGCAATTAAATCAGCTAATCCACTGCTTTTTCTTTTATTTTTATAAATTCCATCATTTCTCAAGGTGAAAATTGGAACTTTATTGACACAGCAAAAGATTTAGAAGGATTCCTGGAAGCTGTAGCTGGAGAACAGAGGAACTAAACTAATACAGGGAACGGTACCCACACTGCTCTGTTTTAATGACTTAATATCTTGTTGATGTTAGACATTTTTCTAGACACTTTCCCACCATTTTATATGGTTTCTTACCTGCCTAAAATATGGAAAAGAGCAAAGCATTTAAGGTTGCCTAATGAGTAAGTTCAGAGTATTATTACTTACTCTGTTGCATTTAATTAGAGCTATTCTACTTAGGATCTCATACAATAACTACACAAAAGTTTTCTATTTTTAAATCACAGGTTTGTTTATTCTTCAGTGACTAAAACCAGATCTCTTACCTGTGGTCCAGGAACAAAAACTTCCATTCCAAACTATGCCTCGATGTAAATTCTTCACATGGCTCTTCAGTATTGCAGAGCTCCTGCAAAACAGTTGGCACATTCAGACATTTAGTTCTACGAAATGACAAAAGGAGCCCTCTATCAAGACCAAGGCTGCATCTTCTTGGTATAACAAACCATAGAGAAATACAGTGCTTTTAAAGCACTTGACTTATTTTCTTCTAAGGAATGTGTAAGTCTTGTTTTATAGAATAAACTGATGAAAAGTGGCTGAAAAATTTACCCTGGGTTGAATTTCAGAGCTAAGATAAAGAGTCCAAAGGCCTCATCTTGCAGTCTGTAGGCAAAATTCCCCATTTTTTTGTAAATATTGGTATCCGAAGATGGATGACAGCACCAGGTCCTGTCTCAAACCCAGCTGGCTCATGCTCCCTCGAGCAAGAAGCACCTACAGATGTTATCCCTGTCATCGCTGCGCTGCGCCGCAGGACACTCACAGACCAGCAGAAAGAGTCCATGAAACAGGCGTTCACAGTGTTTCACGGTGCGGGTGGTCTTCTTGCACAAAGGAGCAGTGGGATGCATTTCTTCAGAGGCTGCAACTTGCCAAGCGGCTTGGCTGGTCGCCTGGCATTGGCGCTTCCTGGGCCGACTGCTCCGAGACGCCCATCGCCTCTTCTCAAAAGCCGCTCCCGCTTCGTATCTCGTCATCCCGAAACACACTCTTACGCCGTCCCTCACTCCCAAACGCAGCGGTGTCCTCCCTCATTCTCCAACCCCCCGCGCC